TTGTTTTAAACTCAGTGTCAGATCTAATAATTTTGAGGTTAAGAAAGGATAACTGGTTATTGTTTTCGTGTTCTATGGTAAATTTGATGTTGGGGTGAATGGAATTTATGTGTTTAAAGAAAGTTAGTGTGTGTTCTGTAGACTTGAAACCAGCAAAAGTGTCATCGACATATCTGTACCAGTATAGTGGGGGATGAAGCGCAGAATGTATGGCTTGTGTTTCGATTTTGGTCATGAATATATTGGCCAGAACGGGCGAAACAGGATTGCCCATACTTAAACCGTCTATTTGAAGGAAATGTACGTTGTTGAAAATGAAGTTGGTTTTAGTCGTTGTCTCTCTTAGAATTTAGGCAAAAAGTGTGCTGGGGATGTGCATTAACTTGTTGGGGTCATTAATGTAGAGGTTGAGTGCAATATTGCAAGCTTCATTGGCGGGGACTTCGGTGAAGAGTGACACGACATCAAAACTTGGTGTATCGTTAGAAAACATTACAAGTCTTTTATACACAAAAAATCTGATTTTTTAATGAAGTACTTTTACTAATGATTTGTTTATGAATATATACAGTATTTCTATATACCGATCAGAGTGCTAAGTTATTTCCACGTTAAGATTAAAATACTCTGTCTCAAAAATCTCAAATTTTATTTGTGTAATTTCTAAAACCTTCTACATAAATTTAAAAGTTTTTTTTCAGTAAAACTTAATACAAGGTTGGTCAATTAGACTAACCTCGTATCCACCAAAAAACAATCCAAATAAATCTAAATTACACTTTTTTTCTTTCTATAATGACTTAAAATTGTAATATGAATCTATATTTGTTTATCCTAAATAGCTTTAAACTAATCACAGTATACATTTGTTTTATTGCCCTTCGAACCCTATCTAACTACTATTCACACCATTATAAGTTGTAAATCACTTGGGAAATGTGTGGCTCATGTTACGCTATCAAATTACGTTACAGACAAGCTACTCATGAGCACACCTTGTGAAAAATTTTTATTATATAATTATTTATTTCACCTAATCTAACCTCAACTAACATAAAAATTTCCTATTTTTACATTTTAGTTACTCTTATAATAATAAATAAAGGATACACATGAAAAACAAGAAAAAAAAGTATTTACCTGGGTCTTCCTTTATTTTGCTGTCGACTGTTCATGACACTTAACCCTACATTTTCATACTAAAAGTAGTATTGCACTAAATAATCTTTTATTTAATTGAATAATGCACCAAAGAAAAAAGAATAATAATGTGCAAAAAGCAGAGAATGTCCCTTAACTATCTCAATTTTTCTAGCTTTCTAACTACGCGGCAAGAGCTGTTAAAACTTCATCTAAGCTCATCGATGTGTTTCCTTTGGGAATCAAGCTTGAACTGAAAGTAAAACTGACAATTCTGTTTACAGAAAACATTGTAATATAATACATCATTTAATAGATGAAAACCTTGGATTTCTATTGGTTATAAATAATATAGTATTGAACATCAGAGAGAACAATTGACAAATCCTGAAAGAGAGGATATGACAGGTTGTCATAACAAGAGGGGTCTGATTTTCTATTTGATGGCTCTGTAACCAAATAAGATTGAAGGCTATGAAAATTATACTTTGCCTAAGCAATGATGATGATATTATAAGCAACTTATGTTAAATTTCGTACTTCTTGGAGGGGTTGTAAATAAATTAGAGAAGAGTGGATACCTAGAGAGCAAATGTCACGATTCTCACAATAGGGGAAATTATAGATTTTTTTAAAATATTGCCTTATAAGAGTAAGAACTTAAAACTTATATATAATTAAAATATGGATTATTAGCAAATTTTATGCTAGGCTAATTGGCACAGTATAACAATAAAATCGTAGTCTAATAAAATTTTGAATGTAAGCCACTAAAATCTCATGATGTGCAGAAAAAGATGCCCACGGAGAAAGGGATACTTTTATTCCCTTATAAAAGAACATTCTGATAATAAATTAAAACCTTAAAATTGTATGTGTCATGTATACATGATAAAGATTTTATTCAACATAAGCACCTGACAGCCTGCTTAATATAGCTGCATCTAGTATTTCATGTATGAATCAATTGAATCAAGTAGTAGCACATTCAAGAAATGTTATAAACAAAGCATGCATGGAACAGTCATCAAGTGATTTGGAAAGTGATAAAGGCATGGCATTCAAAAAGAGTATTAACTAAACAATGAACTCAAACTACGAAATAACTGAGCAATGAAGAATAAAACAAATGTTAAACTGATCACTAATCAAGATTATTTACTCATCAGTTTTGTGCCATTTCAAAACTTGTGCTGATCAACGGACTACTCTCCACCAATTGTACTGTGCCATCTATATTGATGCAGCTAGCTCCCTCTACTATTCTAGAACAATCCTCACTTTTGAGAATTGGCAAGCACAAACCTTAAACACCAACATCTCAGTGGGGTGGGAAGTGGGTAAGTGGAGGTTATTATCTATTGGAAATACATTTTTAGAGCAAGAAAATGTTAACTTCCAAAATGGTACTATCCCCACTCACCCAAAGCTAGAATCACACATTGCCCAAATGGAGCATCTGGTGAAGGCACATCAATCTCAAATCAAGCAACCACACTGAAAGAAAAAAGTGTGATAGAATATGAAAAAAAAGCACATCAGTGGGGAACAGCACTACTTCTGGAACAGGTATGGTTTTCACCCAGCAATCAATACAGTAACACAATTAGGGCGGAACTGAATTGACAGGTACAATCGAAGACAATAACGAGACATACAGCACTGAATCAACATAGGAAGTACTGGATAACTCTGACCAGAATCAGTATGGTGTTGACAAACATGGAAAGGTTCGTGTGTATGCAACCACTTTCCCTTATACGTATGTGCTAATGGAAGTGCTATGGGTTACATTGGATTACACCAAGTGCAGTCCATCCAGGCAAAACACCCAGTGGAAACCCCTTGTATAAGATTTAGCAATCAACAAGTGTGATCCACCCAGGCAAAAACATCCAGGGGAAGCACCTTCAATAAGTAAGATTATGAAAGATATAAATTACTGTTATGAGTGAAATTGTGAGGGTCATCATAACTAGCCCTCTCTCCACATCTATGTCATAATGAGCCATCATAAGAAACATTTATCAAATATAGTGATAGTGAGTCATAGTATGGTGCTAGTAAATGAGCTATAGAGAAAAAAAATAATATGTGGCTAGGGCTTAAGGGCCCTGAAATGTATTTGAATAGGCCAAGTGTGATCTGCCTGGGCAAAAAACATTCAGAGGAAATGCCTTGGGATATGTCAGATTATGCCAAGTGCAGTACAGCACTGAATCAACATAGGAAGTACTGGATAACTCTGACCAGAATCAGTATGGTGTTGACAAACATGGAAAGGTTCATGTGTATGCAACCACTTTCCCTTATACGTATGAAGATTAGGGCAAATGTGGTCTGCCAAGGCA